CTCCTTAGCAAGCACACTTTATCTCTCTGCAAACAGCAGAGTCTTTAGTGGCTTTTACTCAATGCCAAAGGGTAGAACAGGTTCAAATGCTTCTTGTTTTTCCTCTGTTATCCGCTTGTGTGACTCTCATTTCAGATAATGTGAGAGTCACAGACTTGTATATGAAACACTGAGGTCTACTGTGCTCTTTACTCGTTAATGCTAATCATTTATGAGTCTGTGCTGTGGTTGGTAACATGATTTTAATTTTAACTAAAACAAAACACTAGGTGTGAGGAAAAATAGTAACTGGATTGAAAACAAAAACTAGACTTCAGACAAAAACCTGAAAAAAAACCATGTAAAACATCTTTTAGGTTTAGTCTTAGTCACTTATGGGCTTAAAATAATAATACTAATAATATACTGCTACAATATAATAATAGTGATTCATGATTGTACTGTTATAAACTTTTTAAACGTCATCTTAAATCGCCTCCCAAATACCTCCCAAATTATACTAATAGTTAAGAACTGAAACACAAAGCTGAAAATAAACATTATAAATAAATAAATGAATAAACCTGCTCTGTAAACCAGCAGAAACAAAAATGTATTGTAAAATACTTAAAATGGAAAAATAAAACAGATTTGATTACTTTCCGTGTTAGCCCAGCTTTTGCTTTCATCGTAATTTAGTTGTACAATTTACTTAAGGCAGCTAAGTTAGAGCAACGTGTTAATTGTGAGTGCACGGTACGGTACTGGCATATATACTAAATAAATCCGTTGCAAAAAGAAAAATTAGGTCATTCTAAGTACTGTGCACTAACTTAGCTATGTTAAGTAAACTGTACTTTGTATTTTGGCAATTTTTTTTTATATTTTACGGTTATATTTAGAAGTTGAAACAGGTACAATAAAAACGAATACTGTGACTCAGTACTTGAGCATGTTGGACTCAAGATATTTCCTATATATTTTTTGCAGTGCTTATTTTTAATCAAACTTCACAAGTCACTTTTGTTGGTTTTCCCTTTTAAGCAAAAGTCCAGTTTATATTTTTATTTCAGTTAACCGGTTTTTGTTTTTCCATTTATAATAATCTTGATTATATATATATATATGCACTGTGTTTAACAGGCATCGCCCCCACAGTCCCGTTGAGAGGATCCCCCATTGAAATCTACTCCGGTAACATATTGGATAGGTTTTTGCAGTGATTACTGCACACAGAGCATGCGGTGCTTGGTGGGAGGAGGTGTCACCAGAAGACAGAAACAATAAAATCTTGGGACAAAAATAGACTTGTCTTTGCAGAAGGAGTCTGCTGCTGTTGGGGGAAGCTCGTGGTTCTTTGGTGTTATGCTAATAACGTGCGTGAGTGTGAAATTTCCCGAGACAAAAGGTGGGGGGAAAGAAAAAAACATAAGAGGAAAATGTTGGGGGAAGGGATGGCGC